GGCCGCCGCCTCCTGTCGGCTGCCACCCAGGCGGTGCCGGCCCCCAACCAGCAGCCCGAGGTCTTCTACAACCAGGTGAGGCCTCCGGGGACCGCCGGCGCTTTGTTTTCTCCAAGGGACCGAGCCCGCTGGGTGGGAAGGCCCTGGGCCTCTTTGGGCCTCAGTTTACCCAGTTAGCCGCGGTGGGTCTTAGCGCCCCCTCCCCTTCCAGCGAGCATTTGGGCCCCTTCGCCGCCTCTGACAGCGCGCCCCTGTTGCATAATCCAGCTGTGACTTTGGTCGCTTACTGGTTTTCCTGCAACCTCCGCAGCCCCTTTCCCGGCGCCCACGCTGAGTATTCCAGCCCTCCCCTGTCGTCCTCGGTGTTCAGGCCTCTTAGTCGCCCCCGTGTCTGCGCAGAGCCTCCATCATCACCCACTCGAAGGACGTCTTTGCAAGTCCCTCTTTGCAGGAACTTTTAGGTCTTTTTCTTGGGCATCTCTTTCCCCCTCGACTCATGCTCTTGTCTAAGGAATTCCAGAAGGAAGTTCCAGAAGGAAGTCCACAAGGAAAGGCGGGGGCCTTTTCAGCTCAGGTTCATTAGTTTGCTAAGGCAGAGGCCAGGGCCACCGGGCGCTGCCCGCTGCTTTCACAGCTGGGAACCGGGAAAGGGTGGGGGCCCATCGCCTCCTGGTGCAATTCCCCAGCAGTGCCCACCTCCCGAGGAGCTGGCTTTCTTGGACCAAACGGAGGAGGGGATTTCGAGGACCACACAGATTCCCAGTGGCCGACTTCTTGTTCAAAGAGGGCTTTGTGATACTTTGTTTCAACCTCTGAGTTTAGGTGAAGAGCTGGAATTCACAGAGAAGGAAATCGTTATGAAAGAGTTCCTTTCGTGTGTGTGCAGTAAGTGTAGTGGCTGCCCTTGGCCAAGCTTCCCTCCCTTCTTCTGTGGCGTGGGAAGGGGGCGGGAGGGGATGCCTTCCGTCTGCGCAGGGCTCACAGGCGCCTGTGGACACTGACGGAAGGAACAGTTCCGTGCACCGCCTGTGTACCTGGAACCATCCTAAGCATTTACCTGGTCTGCTGTTTAATCCTCACAGCAGCCTTTTGAGGGAGGTTCTGTGGTTATCTCCATTTCACAGACGGAGAGGCTGAGTTACAGAGAGGTTTAGTGACTGAGGTCAGTGGCAAAGTTGGGGTTCACATCTAGGTTCCCAAGAGGGATCCCCTAAGCAGACCATTCTGTGGTGCTGTTGATGCACCTGTGGGTGGGATAAAGGGGTCATTGCTGACCGAGGATGCTGAGAGCCGGCCATGGGTGACTACTCTCAACAGAGGACCTGCTTGTCAGGCCCAGAGTTTGGCTCCAAATCCACATACAGGTGATGGGTAAAGGCACATCCATGTGATGCTGTGGGATATTTAGAGAGACTAAAAACAAAATGTCCTTGAGCCCGAAGTGCAGCAGCTGTAGCTCCCTTGGTAGGCTGTGCAAGGAGAGGTTCATGCTCAAAAGACTTGCCCGTCAGAAGATCAAGCAGAAATATCTTCGAGGGGAGCCTTTGTGGCCACAGGATCTAATTGAGATCTTCCTCCCTTGTGCTCACATGGAAGTGAGAAAAAGCACAAGCGTGCACACAGGACTGGCGGATGGCGTGAGTCCTGTTCTTCAGGTTTAGTCAGGGAACGTAAGTTGGGAATGTAAGTTGGGGGGGGGGTTGGAGTGCGTTCACCCTGTGGCTTTTTTTATCAGATTTTTTTGCGATCATAAAAGCAACGTGTGCTCACTGTATAAATATGCAGAGAGTACTGTCAACTGTCCCCTGTACCCGCGCTGTTAGGAGACAGGGGTGTGGTCTGGCGGGACATTCTCCCTGCATTCAGACGGCCCCCATGTCAACAAGGCCCCCATGTCAACAAGCGGAGATGAAAAAACTGGAACTCGAAAGAGAAGAAGGGGGGGCGCTGAGAGAGGGAGTGTGGGTGAGGCGCCTGGTTTTTTACATGAACGAGAGTCCTGCACTTACTGTCCTGAAGCGGCCTCGCTGAACAGCGGAGCGGGCCCACTTGTCTTTCTCAGCTGGTACTCCCCAGGTTCCTTGTCCTCCCCGAGGACTACTACTGAGGAGCTCAAGTGACAGCCAGAAGTCCACGACCCCTGCTAAGAACGGCCACCCCCCACACCTGCCATCTGCCACCCAGGCGGTGACGGGCACACACCTGCAGCCCCTTCTGCTCCCCCGGCTCCCCGACCTGCAGCCATCGGGCCCTTCTGGTTCCTCCTGTCCCCAAGCTCTCCCTCAGGTCCCCCTCTGGTGCCCTCTGACCCCAGGGTCTGTCCCCGACTGCTGTCTGTGGTTTCTCACTTTGTTGGTTTGCTGGTTGACTGAGTCTTTCCTGCCCCGGATGGTAGCTCAGGGAGGCAGGACTTGGCTGTTCACTCAGTGAAAACGTAGTGACTGTGAGGATGAGTGAATCCAACTTCTACAATTTACTAAAATATATAGAAAACAGAGCATTCTGCCCGGCTGGCGTGGCTCAGTGGTTGAGCACCAGCCTATGAATCAGGAGGCCACAGTTCGATTTCCGGTCAGGGCACAGGCCCAGGTTTCGGGCTTGATCCCCAGCAGGGGGTGTGCAGGAGGCAGCCAATCCATGACTCTCATCATTGATGTTTCTCTCTCTCTCTCCCTCCCTCCCTTCCTCTCCCTGAAATCAATAAAAACATATTTTAAAAAAATTCAAAAGGACTCCAACTTTAAAAAAAAGAAAGAAGGAAAATAGAGCATTCTGATGGAAAAGCATTATGAGTTTTGACAACAGTCCAGATACAAAGCGTCACATCCTGAGGTGGCTAGAGTGTCGCTCTGCTTCTAGAAACTATAACGAGGAAGTGGGCGCTGGGAGGCCCCCCCATCCCGGGGTGGCCATGGTAAGCGTGTTATGTAAGTCACGCTTTGGGTTTCTGGCAGGAGGTCACGAGGCCTTTGGCTTGGATTCTGCCCTTGTGCTTATTCGAGAGAAGTAGCTTGGAAACTCCTCACTGGGCTCAGCCAGAGAACCTTCCTACCCAGGCCCCTCCCCCGGGGGGAGGGGAGGACCGCTGGAGCTGGGCCCTAGGAGAAGGGAAGCGGGAACTCCAGACCGAAGGCCGCTTCCAGCCTCCTGCAAACCCAGGGTTATCTCATCAGCTAGGAGGGAAGACTGACCCAGCAAATTCAGGGCTCTGCAAGGCAGATAGACGCCGGGGAGTGGACTTCCCGAGGTTCTTGGTCAGAGGTCAGGGGAACAGCGTGGCCCTGCCGAGGAGGAAGGGCTGCGGACAGCGGGAATTTAGCTGGCCTGGCCTAAATTCCTATCTTTGCAAAATAACAATGAACACTTTTTCAAGACAAACTGATTTAGTAGGCTGCTCTGCAGGGAACAACACAGAAAGAGATACACGGACTTACCCAGCCCATGCTCCTAGGAGTCATGCCCGAGAGAGCCACAGGATCTAGAGTAGTGTATGTGCAGGGGTGAGGCCCACTGCGAGCGGGGGGCCTGGCTTAGAAACTTTACACTCCCTGTGGCATTTAATCCTCACATCAGCCCCCAGACATATCATCTCCAGGGACTGATGAACCATCTAGAAGGTCACAGGGGTAGAGCCGAGATTCAACCCAGGACTGTCTGGTGTAGAGGCTGGTGCTTCTTACAGCACCCAGAGTAAAAACGCAAAGTCAAACCTGCAGTGGGGCGGTAAGTAAAGCATAGGGATGGAACAGTGCACGGCCAGCCAGACTCTGCGCGCTCCCTGACCCCCCTCTCAGCTGCCTCAGCGAGGCTCCAGCCCCAACTCAGGGTGGCAAAGGGACACATGCTCAGCAAAGGGTGGCAGAGCCTGTGCCAGGCCCTCCCCTTACCCCCTCCTCCCCAGGCTTTAGTTCTACTCCTCCCATGAAATTCCTTTTCCTCCGCCCCCAGGGAGGAGGCTGATTCTCAGAGAGCCCGCCTGCAGGGCTCCCCCAGGGCATGGCCCAGCCCAACTTGAACTCAGGCCTACCTGGCTTCTCCCACACCTGTTCCCCCACTGAAACTACTCATCGCCCACTCCTCAGCCCCCTGCCCCTCTTTCGGGAAGAAACAAAGTTGTCATTTTCCTTAAGATTAATGATCAACCAACTAATCTGAAACCACACAGCATGTTTCCAAAGAACCTGACTGATGTTGACCCATGTTCTCCTGCCAAATACCAAGAGCCTTTTACTGCAGGGGCAAAGCTGTGGATTCCTCTGTGATGGTGGGGCAGGGACTGTGCTCAAACACCACCTTTGAGCCTGGGAAAGTGACCTTTGGCAGGCCCTTTCCTGACTGGCTCCTGCCTGTTACCACATCATTGTCACAGCATTGCACCCTTACTCCACGAGAGGCTTGACGCAAGTACTTGGAACTGTCACATGCCGGTTTATGAGGGTACCATAGTGATCCCCAAAGGCGCCAGGAGGTGATTTGACTTGCCCCATGGGACACAAGTAGGAGGAAAAGTGCCCGGATTCATCCGGATTCTAGTCTCGATCCCTGCTCTCGAGCACTGGGCCGGGCCAGCCCCCCATTCTCCCCCCTCCGGGCCCTACTGGCCCTGGACTGAGCCAGGCCCTCAGCTTTGCTTGGCAGTTCCCTTTTATCAGTCAGGGCTCAGGTCAAATGTCTGCTTCTCAGAGGCCCTCCCGTCACCCCAGCTTCAGTTCTCTATCTCCCCCTGCTCCTTAGTACTCTCCCCGGATCTTGTTTTTCTGCTCTGCCCTCGCCACGGCAGTCTGAGGTTGACCTGTGTATCTGACTGATTGCTTCTCTATTTCTTGTGCCCACCAGAATGCCAGCTCCGTGGGAGAAAGGTCCTTATTGGGTTTGGTTTCCACTGTGTCCCCAGCCCTAGCACATTGCCAGTGTTCACTAAATATTTGCTGAGTGGACAAAAGAATCATCTACCTCAGGTCTCACCACAACCCTGTGCCCTAGTGCGTTAAAGGAAAGACGGTGGCAAATTTTTTGCAGCTCCTCCCGAGGAGGGGTGGAGGTTCCTCCCCTCCCCAGGGGTCTGGGCCGGGCCTGTCGCTCACTTGGACCAAAGGGATTCGGTGTCAAAAATGAGGCCATGTGACTTTTGAAACTAGATCTTGAGCAGCCTTTCAGCTTCTGCCCTGGTCTCTTGGAACATTCTTTCTGGGCAAGCTGACTGTCATGCGAGAAGTCTGACTAGCCTGGGTCCACCATACTGTCAGGAAGACCAAGCAGCCATGTGGCACAGGCGCGAGTCAAGAGGCAGCCTTGCACATCCAGCCCCAGGCACCCTTTCTTTGCAACGATATGAGTGGGCCCAATCAATGGACACAACTGTGAGATAATAATGTCAATTAAAGCCAGCACATTTTGAGGGGATGTTATACAGCAATAGATTAGATAACTGATGAGTTAGGAGGATAACTCTTCATTTTTCAAAGAAACCAAGGCACTGAAAGATCAAATGACTTACCCAGGGTCAGTTGGTAGAGTGGGCACTCCAGCTCGGATTATCTCCAAGGTCTGTGCTTTTAACAGGTCACATCGATCTGAAGCTAATTCATACTTGTTCCTTCTGATTTTTTTTTTTAGTCAGTTTTGGGTTGAGAACTGGTCCTGAGAACCTTCTGCCTTCTCATTGTAGATCTTCATAAATAATGAGTGGCACGATGCCATCAGCAAGAAAACGTTCCCCACTGTCAATCCATCCACTGGGGAAGTCATCTGTCAAGTAGCTGAAGGGGACAAGGTGAGAACTGGTGACTTATCTTGGGGAAGGGCTGAACAGAGTCGGGGCAGGCAAGGATAATTTATTTTTTCTCCCCCCCCAGGTAATTTAATTTTTTACTTAATGTGTTTTCGTATGATCAAGACTTTACCTTGTGTGTATTGCTTTCATAACTAAAAAATGCCAATTAAAATTTTTGAGTAAATGGATCAACAGAAACTCTCCCTTGCAAACAGGTGCTAGACTGTATCTGCATTCACAGTTCATACTGTTGTGGACTATAGACTTGGACCTGAACTTGAGAATATCTAATCCAATCTCTCCTTTCCAGACCTGCAGGGCAGTGCACAGCTAGATGGAAATCTTGTTGAGTAGAATTTGGGTCTCCTGAGATCTAGCTCTGGTGTTGGCAGTATGTTTTGTTTGTATTATATATATATTATATATGTATATATATGAATAGTTATTAAATAGTAATAGTAATTTAAAAATTTTTAAATTAAACTCCTGGAAAGGAGAGTCTGAAGCTGGCTAGGCAGAGCCCATTGAAGCTGGGAAGGACTGTGGGGGCAGGTTTCTGCATGGCACTGGCTGCTGGGCAGTGGGGTGCGCAGTCTTTAGAGGTGGTTATTGCTGAGAAGGCTGAGCTGCCTCGCTGGGTGTTTTCCAGGAAGACGTGGACAGGGCAGTAAAGGCTGCCCGGGCCGCCTTCCAGCTGGGCTCTCCCTGGCGCCGCATGGATGCGTCCCACAGGGGCCGGCTGCTGTACCGCCTGGCCGACCTGATTGAGCGGGACCGGACCTACCTGGCAGTGAGTTCTCAGCCCCCTTCCCTCTCATCCCACATGGCGAATGGGTTCAGAGCATCCCATCAGACAGCCACGAAGAAGCCACATTGCTGACAACTGGTCAGAATGGCATAGGCTGGGCACCTTTGGGATATGCCCCTGTACCAACCAGAGGAGTCTCTCCTATGATGCAGTGGGTTTGGCTAAGAAAGGAGGAGACTAGGGAAGAGAGGGGAGCCATGTTGGGGAGCCTTCCCAGGAGAGAAACCCCCAGGCATGGACACCTCTCCTGGGCCTTCTCCCTGGCTGTCAGAGGTGGAAGAAACCAGGAGGCAGTGCCGTTTCCTCTCCCCAACCCCTTCTACACATAGCAGCCAGAGTGAACCTTCTAGAAGGCAAATTAGACCGTGGAGCTCCTCTCCTAAGCCTCCCATGGCATCCTGTATCCTTTGGATAAAGTCCTGTTTCCTCAGTGTGGCCCTGCCTGGTCTGGCCCCATCTCCTGGCTCATGCTGTGCCGTGGCCCTCACACACAGCGCTGCGCTCCTGCCTGCCTCAACTTCTTGACTACCAAGCTTCTTTGAGCATCAGGGCCTTTGCACACGCTCTTCCCTTCATCGCTGTTTGTACCTTCCCCCTTTGCCTAGTCACCTCCTGCATATCCTTCAGGTTGGAGTTTCTCACCCTGGACTGGGCAGCCTGGCCTTCTCCTTGCGAGCACTCTAAACCCACGTGATTGATGACTCATGTCTTTCTTTACTGGCTCTTTGCTCTGCAAGCTCTTTGTTTGTCTCTGTATCCCCAGCACCCGGATCCTGCATAGAGTAGAAACGGAAAAAAAATTGCATCTGTGAAATGACTGAAATGAGAAGCTGGAGCATCATTCCTCCCATCCCCCTCCTCACTCTCCCCGCCTTTGGAGAGGGAGGGCCACTGGCCCGGAAACGCCTCGACATTTAGGGGCACAGAGTGGCCACGCGCCCTTTTCTCAGACCACGCCGCGCCTCTGCGCTGCCTGTCGCCCGTCCGCTTTGTTTCATCCCCGCGCCAGCAGGCCTGTGCTGACCGTGCTCTCTTTTCCCAGGCCTTGGAGACCCTGGACAACGGCAAGCCCTACGTCATCTCCTACCTGGTGGATTTGGACATGGTCCTCAAATGTCTCCGGTAGGGGCTCAGGCTTCCTGGCCTTCGTTCTGGCCGCACCAAAGGGGCGGGGGTATGGCTGGGGAGGAAAAATAGGGTAATGTAAGCGGATCACGAGACTTGCAGACACGTGTTCCTCTGGACGCCGTCTCCTGGGAAATGCCAGTACCGAAACTGTAATCTGGTCATGTTTCTCTGGTGTCTTGAGTCAGTTTTGGTAATTTACGTTTCAGTTGGGCTTGTCCGTATCATCTGGGTTATCTAATTTACTGGCTCCCATTGTCTGTAGTATTTTCTCATAGCCCTTTTCACCTCTGTGAGGTCGATCGTAAGGTCCTCGCTTCCATTTCCGAGTTATTTGTGTCGCCTCCCTTTTTTCCTGGCCTAAAAGACCCAGCTTTTGGTTTTGTTGATGCTCTCTATTGTTTTTTCCATTCTCCATTTCATCTTTCTCTGCTCTAATCTTTATTATTCCCTTCCCCTTGCTAGCTTTGCGTTGGTTTGATCTTAAACATTTTAGCGACCGAGAAATACAAGAGGAGGAGCGCGAGGTTTGTTAGGGCTCGTGGTCAGTAACAGAGATTCAGTCTAACCCGGGCAGCACAGAGCCAGGACTCTTAAAGCCCGAGGCTCACTCTGCCCAGCCCAGCCCCCAGCTTCTTTCTCCTTTCGACCCCCACCAACCTCCTTCAGGCCGGTCTGCAGGTTGGAACCTGGCTGCCCACACCTGGGCTTGCTTCTGTCTGTGTGACTCCAGCCCGGACCAAGTGACAGTCTCTTAGTCCCAAGGCCAGATTCCTGGAGGAGGGACCCTTGAGTCTGACCAGCTGTGGTCTGGGTGGAGATCATTGTACAAATAATGGTTGCTCCCTGTGACCATGTGAACTGAGAAGCAGTACCAGAAAAGTTGGGGTTGGGGAACATAACGGGGTCTCAACCAGGGCAGTTATGTCGCCCGGGAGGTAGTGGGCAATGTCTGGAGACATTTTTGGTTGTCACAACTGGGCGGGAAGGGGTACTACTGGCATCTAGTGTGTAGAGGCCAGGATGCTGCTAAAATCCTACAATGCACCAGAAAGCTCCCCACCACAAAGAATCATCCAGCCCCACATGTCAACAGGGCCAAAATCAAGAACCTCGCTCCACAAGGCTGCCCCAGAGAGAGCAGCCTGGTGAATCTCGGCAGAGCCCCAGGCCTCCGAGTTTTAGCTGTGTGCCTTTGGGCTGATTAAGTAACTATTCTGAGCCACACAAAACATGTAATACAGACCTGGGAGAGAGGGAACAGTAAATGTTTATTAAAAATAGCGACTCCTGGGCATCCACCCCGGAGAGCCAGATTGAGAGTCGGAAGTGGGCTCTTGGAATTTGGTGTTTTTTATGAGCATCTCAGGTGATTCTGAGACTTGGAGGTTAGTTCCCTGGGGTGGCTTATTGTGACCTTGGCAGTTAAGTCATCCTGGGAACAAGGGCAATTATCAGAGATGCCCAGTTAGACAGTATGAGTCTTTCCTTCCTGCCAGGGTTTACACGGGTCCCTGACAGTCATTGATTAAGCTTGACTTTTATGTTTTAAGCTACTATGCCGGCTGGGCTGATAAGTACCATGGGAAAACCATCCCCATCGATGGGGACTTCTTCAGCTACACCCGCCACGAACCTGTGGGGGTGTGTGGGCAGATCATCCCGGTGAGTGTCCCTGAAGGTTTGTCGGGAGCACCTTGAGCGCGGCCGTCTCCAGCAGGCTCGTGACTGAGAACGTGGCTTTCACAGAGCCAGCCTGGGTTCAGGTCCCAGGCCTGCCACTCGTGAACTCTGTGACCTTGGGCAAATCACTGTCCCCCTAAGCCTGAATTTCCTTACCTGGAAAGTGGGAGGGAACCCAGAGTGGAGGGGGGAGGGTAGGGAGGACTGAGTGCAGCGGCTTAGCGTGGAGCTTAGCGTGGAAAAGCACTCATGACCCGGAGCCGCTGTTATTTCACCCTCCACCTGCTCGCCCCACCTGTCTTAAACCTACCATTGAGTTGTGGGGGGACGGACGGGACTCAGGGAAGTCACTGCCGCGTCTGCTCTCTGGGGAGTCACTTTCTGCAGCTGGGTGTGGGGAGTGACCGTTGTTTCCCGCAGTGGAACTTCCCGCTGTTGATGCAAGCGTGGAAACTGGGCCCCGCCCTGGCCACCGGCAACGTGGTTGTGATGAAGGTGGCTGAGCAGACTCCACTCACCGCCCTCTACGTGGCCAACTTGATAAAGGAGGTGCGTGGCTGTCCCTCTCGACCTCTGAATGCTCCTGTTCAGGCTTTCTGAGGGGGGCGCCTCTGGCCCAAAGTGACGGGGGGTTTGTAGAGCAGGAGCTGAGCACCCCCATCACCACGCTTAGCCAGAGAGGCCCCTTCGTCCCTGTTCTCTGCCTCGGGCTTCACTGTAAGGCCCCTTTGAATAGTGAAACTGTCCTCTGTGAGTACCATGGCGAGAGGGGCACAGCCACGGGGAGCTCTGCGGCACCGTCCAGCTTCCCTGAGCCGCACCCCGACTGCGTCTGCTCGCCCGTGTGCGGGCGCACTGCCTGGCCTCCCTGGGGAGGGGCGAGCTCCCCGTCCAGCCCTTCGCAGGGGAAGGTGCGCAGTGTCTCTGGCTGTTTGCCCGCAGGCCGGCTTTCCCCCTGGCGTGGTCAATATCATTCCCGGATTTGGCCCCACGGCTGGGGCTGCCATCGCCTCCCACAAAGATGTGGACAAAGTGGCCTTCACAGGCTCCACCGAGGTAAGGCCTCTCCCTCGAGGTGTGGGGTCCTCTGTCCTGAACCTAGGAGAGCGTTTGGTTCCTTTTCCCCTTACGGAGAGGTTGTTCTCTGTGCCTGTTTCCCTACAGGTTGGCCGCCTGATCCAGGTCGCCGCGGGGAGCAGTAACCTCAAGAGAGTGACCCTGGAGCTGGGAGGGAAGAGCCCCAACATCATCATGTCAGATGCTGATTGTAAGTTTTCCGGGGGAGGCGGCCTGGCCTGGAAGGCGGCCACTAGCTGTCCACGCTGTGGTCCTGACTCTGGCAGTGGCCATCATCATTGGGGTCGGTTTCTGGGCCAGGGCCTCAGGACGAAGGCTGGGCTCCCCGTGTGGCCCTCCAGCCAGCACGGTCCGGCCGCTTCTGCCGCGCCTCCCTGCTCCCTGCAACCCAGCCAGACCGAGTGCTTAGCTGCCCAGCTGGGCCCACGCTTCCTTGGACCAGACCGCTTTTCTCCCATCACATGCTTTGTTCTGGTCCTGCTGAGGAGCTCCAGACGTGCCCTCCCCAAGGGAGCCTTCCCTGATCGCCGCAGGCCGGCTGGATTGGTCCCCCCGCCGCCCTCGGCTCCGTGACCCCTGCGATCGGGTGGGCCTGCCACTTGGTCTCCACACTCACAGAAGGGAGAGGCCGGGTCCCTCTTGCTTGGGCACATGGTCTGGCACCCAGCAGGCTCCATGCTGTTGGTGGCGCGAATGGGTTCAGGAGGAGGGCGGCCACGGGGTCCTTCTTTCCTGACGGCCGTCCCTCTGCCTCCCCAGTGGACTGGGCTGTGGAGCAGGCGCACTTCGCCCTGTTCTTCAACCAGGGCCAGTGCTGCTGTGCGGGCTCCCGGACCTTTGTGCAGGAGGATGTTTACGCGGAGTTTGTGGAGCGGAGCGTCGCCCGCGCCAAGTCTCGGGTGGTTGGGAACCCCTTTGACAGCCAGACTGAGCAGGGGCCGCAGGTAAGCCGGCAGCCGCAGGTGGGTCCGGGTGACTGGCACCAACACGGAGAAGCAGAAAGGGCCCGGACTCAGAGGCAGGCAGGCAGGCAGGCACGGCTTCAAGTCCTGGCTCTGCCACGTACCAGCTGTGTGTCACTGAGAAGCCCCATGCCCTCTCTGAGCTGCCATTCTCTCATCCTTGGCACCTGCCCTTCATAACTCACAGGGTGGCTGGGGAGTGGGAATTAATGATGGAAGGCACTCTGTAAATTACATACATATAATAAATACTAGGAGTGGGCAAAAGGGAATGCTTGTTTCCTGGAGCTTGGCGGCCCATAAAAATGCATCTACCAGAAGGATACATGCGGATCTGTTAACCATGGCCACCTCTGGGGGGGCGGGGGAGGGCCGTGATGTGATTAGGGGAGGAACTTTATCTCACTCTATACTCTTCTGAGCTGTTTGATTTTTGTTAACCAGGAGGATGTGTTCATTTTAATCAATAAAACTCTAGTGAACGATAATTATAAGAAAAAGAAATACAGTGCCTCTCTCCACCATTTCCTCTGCATCCTGGTCCACTCATCTAATTTTCTGTTGCTGTTTCTTTTTGTTAATCACTCGGGGATATTTTCTCCATTGATGTTTAGAGAGAGTGGATGGGAGGGAGGGGGAGAGAGAAACACATCAATTGGTTGCCTCCCACACGTGGGCCAGGGAACAAACCTGCAACCCTTTGGGAATCAACAAGCCTTTGACTGGGAATCAAACACGAGACCCTTGGGTGCACGGGCCGACACACTCCCACGGGGCTGCATTGGCCAGGGCTGTCCCCTCATCTGTTGATAGACCCCTGGGTGGTTTCCACTTTTTGGCTATTGTGAATAGTGCTGCTAAGAATCTCAACATCTCTTTTCCTCTCTTTTCTTTGTGGTTTGTGGCTATTTAATGATTAAGCTAATGCAAATTTGTATAAAAATTTAATAAAAAAGTGTTTAAAGTAAAATATAAGACCTTCCCTTGCTCCCCTCCATGTCCATTCCCTATAGGTGGCCACACTCACACATAGTTAGGTGTCTGTATGTTTGTTTTAACAAAAATAGGGTTATATAATATATATTGTTCTATAAGCTCTCTCCTCCTCCTTACAAAATATCTTAGGCTATCTTTCTGTGTCAGTCAGTTCACAGATCTGTTATTAATGACAACACAACATATGGATGTACCATAGTTACATTAACCTGCCCCTCTACTCATGTATACTTAGAATTGTTTCACTTTTTGCTTTTACAAAGTGCTCCCCAGCGAACATCCTTGTTCAGGTTCCTTTGTCATGTGTAGAATAAATTCCTAGAAGTTAAATAGCGGGCTCAAAGGGTATGAGCATTTAAATTTTGACTGATATTAATAAGCTACTTGCCAAAAGAGCTAGACCAGCTTACAGCCCTTTTTAAAATTGAGATATAAGTGACGTAGAATGTACTGATTAGTCCTAATGGTGTATGAATATTACAGTGTGTGTAACAGACCTTCGCCATCAATGTATTTTCTTGCTATTGTAAATTTTTAGTAATTTCTTCTGTTTATTGGCCCTTTGTCTTTCCTCTCCGAGTCCTGCTGATTCATGACCTTCGCCCGTTTCCCAGTTGTCTCCTTGCCCGTGTGGCTCTAAGCCTGGAACAAGGCGAGGTCTGGCTCGAGCATCTCTGCAACCCTGGACTCCTTCTCCCACAGGTGGACGAAACTCAGTTCAAGAAGATCCTCGGCTATATCAAGTCGGGGAAGGAAGAGGGGGCGAAGCTGCTGTGCGGCGGAGGGGCGGCTGCTGACCGCGGCTACTTCATCCAGCCCACCGTGTTTGCAGACGTGCAGGACGGCATGACCATTGCAAAGGAGGAGGTGGGCGCGGGGCCGGTGCTCAGGGATGCTCCAGTCTAGCGCCTTGACCCTGTCACCCAGTAGCTGGCTCTGGGCCACATCCTGGCTCTGGGCCAGGACAGGGCAATTACAATTCACACCCTATCTCGTCCCTCTCATGGCTGCCCACTGCCCGGGAGCACTGCCTCCGTCCCTGGCACAGCCTACAGGCCCATTGTGTTCTGGTCCCCGCGAGCCGTGAATCAAGCAATGCCGTTGCCCAGCCCTTCTTGTGGCCTTCATATAAGTAGGACGTTGGACTAGAACAAAGGGCTCATGTCCCCACATGGCCAGTCTCTCTTTGGTGTTCTCCCCTTCACCACTGATTATGTGCACAGGGCAGCAGCTCGGTCTCATGCACTCATTCATTTCATAAATATTTACTGAGTGCCTACTATGTGCTAGGCTGTCTGAGGGCAGACGCTGGAGAGCCAGGGGTATCCAAAACATATCCCCTGCCTTTGCCCCACTTCCACCAGCTGGATTAAGCCCCAGAGCGGCCCTCTCAGGGAAAACATTATAGTGCCACCCCCTTTCATGTATAATTCAAAGTAAAATAATATTAAAATGCAAAATCAGGGTAGGAAAGCCCCACAGAGTTCTGCCTCCTTTCCCCTCGTGAGTACTTGGATGCCTCTGCTTCGCTGGCACCTGAAGCACACAATGCCTGGCTCACAGCCACTGCTCCGACCATTTGGAGCTCCTGGCAGTGCCCTCCGACCTTTCCAGGCCTGGGATCGGCCCTTTCTCAAGAAGCCCTAGTTTCCTTTGGGATTTCATGAGAAGGGGCACTGGGTGTGCCGGTGCCTGGATCTCTGCTTCCCTCCTCCCTGCTCCTTACCCCCACTCTAGTTTGGCCAGTTCCTGTGCCTGTGTCACAGCTCGACTGTGACTTCTGTGAAGCCTTCCCAGATACCGCTCCTCCCCACCCCTCAGTCAGGCCAGGCAGCTCCTCTGGGCTCCTCGGGGCTCCTCCGGGCTCCTGCCACTCAGTACACTGCTTATAATGGTTAGTTTCTAGTGACCTGGTTACATTTTGATCACTTAAAGTCCCCCCAGGGCAGAGAGCAACCAGCACACTCAGTCCCCACATGTTGGTTTCTAAATCCCATTCTTCACACGAAAGAACCAGGATTCTTTGAAGAAATGGCTCATTCCAGGAACAGGGCAGGGAGAGTACAGGGGAAGCCTGGACTGTCTTGAGAGGGGGGACTGTTTTGTTCACGGCTGCTCCTTCAGCATCCGGTTGTATGCCTTGCTGAATGAAATGACTTAAATTTTTTGACACTGATTCTATGTGTAGCACACCAATAATGCAAACATTGCAGAACTACTTAGAAATAAGATACAGTATGTAAAGTGCGAGGCACACAGAAGGCAGCTGATCCCCACTGGCTTCCTGCCTTTTGTGTTTCAATGAGCTTGGGAGCTGTCGTCTCCCTCTGGAACTGCGAGGGCATGTCCGGGGGGTCGTTACCACATCTGGAACCATCTGCTCAGCGCTGTGAAAGCTGGGGAGCCGGTGGCTCCACGTCTGCCATGCCCACCCACTCTGCTCTCTCACCCCAGATCTTCGGGCCAGTGATGCAGATCCTGAAGTTCAAGAGCATAGAGGAAGTCGTCGGGAGAGCTAACAATTCCATGTACGGGCTGGCTGCCGCTGTCTTCACACAGGACTTGGACAAAGCCAATTATCTGTCCCAAGCGCTCCAGGCTGGCACTGTGTGGTAAGGGCCTCCCAGCAGCCCCTCACACCCAGGCAGGGATCCCCAAAGCCAGCGCCCTCCAGAGCCCAGTGCTCACACCCTGGAATTTGGGGTACTGGGCTCAGCTGCTCTGGGCGCAGGGGCTGTGCGGTACAGCAGGGAGGCGAGAGTTTCCCTCCCCTGGCCTCCAGGAGATTGCCCTTCCCCGCAGTACACATGCCTGTGCAGCTGTTCGTGGGCAAGCAGGTGACAACCGGGGCTCCTTACGGAGCTGTAACCAGGGTAGGAGACCAGAGCTAAGGGCCCTTCACAGGATCTTAAGAACTTAGCACCTACTTCGCACTCATCAAGATGGCTGTAATTTTTAAATCCAGAAAGTACCAATAGTTGGTGAGGATGTGGAGAAGGTGGGACCCTTGCACGTTGCCGGTGGGAATGTGAAATGCTGCAGCCACTATGGAAAACAGTCTGGCAGTTCCTCAACACGTTAAACATAGAATTACCATAGGACCCCTCAGTTCCACTCCTAGGCACATACCCAAGAGAAATAGAAATATACACCCACAGAAGAGTGTACCCGAATGTTCATAGCAGATTATTCACAATAGCCAGAAGGTGGAAGCAGCCTAAAAGTCCATCAGCTGATGAAGAGGTAAACATAACCTGGTCCGTCCACACAATGAAATATTATTTGGCCATAGGAAAGAAGTACTGACGCGTGCTGCAACATAGATGAGTCTTGGAAACATGAGACCAAGTGAAAGAAGCCAGACACAGAGGGCCACATATTGTACAATTCCACTTATAGAAAATGTCCAGAACAGGCAGATCCATAACATCGGAAAGTAGAGGAGCGGCTGCCAGGGCCTGGGGTGAGGGGGGAATGGGCGTGACTGCTTATAGGGTACAGGGTTTCTTTTTGGGGTGATAGAAACGTTCTGGAATTACTTAGTGGGCAGCATTGTAAATATGCTCTAAAACACGGACTTGTACACCTTAAAATGGTGAGTTTTACATTCAATTAAAGTTTAATAATTTTTTTTAAATTGCCAAAAAAACCCACCTTAGTACTTAATTAGCAAAAGCGAGTTATAAAAATGGGACACTGTCACGTGGTGCTCCCTGTTACTGACACCCACCCGTGATCAGGTCATGAAGGGCAAAGATGACCACGGCTTTATGTCACGTAACTTGCTTTCAGCTCCTAAGCGGCTGGTTCTTACTGTGCCTCTTTCTACCCATTTTTTTCTCAGTAAAATCTTAGTGCAACATAGGAGGTCCGAGCGGTATGATACACATGCCCAAAGAGTTACTTCAGAAATCTTGTTTCAAATTATAGGATCAACTGCTATGACGTGTTTGGGGCCCAGTCTCCGTTCGGTGGCTACAAGATGTCTGGGAATGGCCGGGAGCTGGGAGAGTATGGCCTGCAGGCGTACACTGAAGTGAAAACCGTGAGTGTCACCTTCTCCGCCCTCTCTGCTGTCGCAGCCCATCAGTACTGATTACTAGTTTCTTGTTTTAAGCCAGAGAAGCTATAAAAAGCGGTCAGGACCCAACCTGCGCTCTGTCCCGTGAGAAAGAACCAGAGGCTTGGCTGCTACACAGTCGTTTGCTGGGCTTTGCTGTGCGCCGAGCTCTATAGGAGCTGCGAGGCAGGGCAGAGCCCGGTGGGCCCAGGCAGCGAGGGAAACCGGATGATTGGGTTGGACCCATATCCATACCCATGCCGGTTTTGCAACTTCAGTGATAGGAATGTAGCTGAAGAACTTGAGAAAGACAGAAAGCCTTAGCTCCATAAATGTTCATCACAGCACTCTCTCCCTAAAAGGGAAAACCGGATGTAACAAATGTTCCTTAATTGTGGAACTCCCAAGTCATTGAGCACCAAGTAGCCATTAAAATATCTCTGTAGAATATTTGATATGGAAAATGCTCATCTTTTAACATAAGAAAGCAGGATACAAAGTAATACGTGCAGTGTAAGTCCAGTTTAAAAACTGTGTGCACAGATATAGACACTCAGATATAGCATCTGCTTGTTTGTACAGTTTTCCCTGTCTATACAAGAGGCGAGACCCAGGTTTGAAGTTGACGCTGATGTGTCACTGGCCTGTAGTAGCTGTTCATGAAAACAGTAGTTATGGATGAGGTCATGTAGGTGCGGAAGGAGGGGACAGGGAGGGCTGGGACTGAGCCCGAGGAATTGCAGTACCTACGGCCGGGCTGGAGGGCAGGGGGAGGGCCTGAAAGGGGGAGGCCTGGGTTGAGGCGTTTCATGGAGGAAGCCAGAGGTAGCAAGCTGCTGACACTGGAGGCCTCGGGAACTGAGGTGTTGGGGAGACGAGAAAGCTTTTAAAGAAAGAAGTGGCAGGACTTGATTCATCTCATGAAGTAGATCCTGTTGTTACCCCATTTTACAGAGGAGGAAACAGGGCAAGCTGAGGTGAAGTTCTTGCCCAGTAGGGAGTAAAGCTGGGACTCAACCCCAAAGCCATCTGAATCTGGAGCTTTCCCACTTAATCCACTGAGACACCTGCAGGCTTCGGCACATTCTTTCTTTCCTTTGAGTCTTTGGGAGGAAAATATGGATCTAGGTCAGGGTCTCAGCCTCGGCACTGGACATTTGGGGTTGGATAATTCTTTGCTGCGCGGCATCCTGTGCACTGCAGGGTTGCTGAGCAGCATCCCTGACTTTAGCCTCTAGCTGCTGGTAGGGATCCCTCCCCCCGGCCGCCCCACCCTGAGATAACCACAGATGGCTGGGCTAAGGGAAGGCAGAGTGTGCTCTCGTGCAGAACACAGCCCTGGCGGTTCCTGGGATTGGCCGGGTGGCCATTCGGACGTTAGAAGTAAGGGAAGCCCTCTGCTCACGCTCAGGCAGCACCCAGCTGAAGGCGCCTGCAGGTCGGCGTGACATCTAACAGCCTCTCCGCACCCCTCTTACAGGTCACAGTCAAGGTTCCTCAGAAGAACTCATAAAGAACCACGCCGGCTCCCTTCCTCAGCCAGCGGCAGAAAGTTCAACGAGATCAACCACAAAACCAAGAAAAATGACCCTTGCACTCTAAAAGTCTCAAAAGAGAAATCCTCCCACAGACTCTCTTGGATCCAAAGGCCCCAGAATCTGAGTCCCTATTGGGTGGGTGTGGGGCGAAGAGGACATGGAAGGCCTCTGAAACTGTCACAGTGCCCGGCTTCGGGGTGGCTTTTCAGAAACAGACTGGAATGTGTCATCCCGTCCCTCTGATACAATTCTGTAACTTGCCTTTAAGGGGGAAGGAAAAGTCACTGTTGACGGTTGTACCATCACTGAGGCCACAGCTAGCCCCTTGTTTTGTATTCTGAACTAAAGCTCATTAAAAATAGTGCTCCCCTTCACTTTTTGGGTAACTCTCCCTCGGTCTCAATAACCCAAGGAAATGCCGCCACGTAGGTACATCGTCCCTATGTTCGAATGTCACACTGTTTACAATGACACCCCTCCCCTGCTGTTGGCAAAAAGCTTTCATTTTGTGTGTTTTGATGAACAAAACACCCATGGCAGGCTCTGTGCTGGGCGCTTAGGATGACACCCGTGGCAGGCTCTGTGCTGGGCGCTCAGGATGACACCCGTGGCAGGCTCTGTGCTGGGCGCTCAGGATGACACCCGTGGCAGGCTCTGTGCTGGG